TAGATAGATAGATAGATAGATATGATTACACTGTGAAGCAAGATAGATATGAACAGACTGAGCTAGCTAGCAAGCCAGTTAGATAGCTCCCCACATAGATAGATAGATAGATAGATAGATAGATAGATAGATAGATAGATAGATAGATAGATAGATGCCTAAAGGTTCGAATAGTTGTTACTTCTACCTGTTCTGCATCCATTCTTGTGTACTTATAAAATACACGATATCTGCACATATACTTCTTCAATTATACGGGGCAGAAATCGACGTAAACCAATTGTCACTACACACACTTAAACACACACACACACACACACACACACACACACACACACACACACACACACACACACACACACACACTTCACACACACACACACTTAAACACACGCACGCACACACACACATATACTCGAAAGGGAGTGTGTGGTTGTGTGTGATTGGTGCTAAAGGGCACTAAGTTGGTTTCAAATGTTCAGACGTTTTGATCATTTACTTATGATTTGGGGAGGTGGTTGCGCTGATGACTTTTCAGCAGAACCCTGCATATAAGAGCATCAACACACAGACAATGGCAAAAATTGTACTTATGTGTCTTGTCAATGCACTTAATTCAGTCCGGAATCATATTGATCAGTGAAAAGTACAGAGCCCAAACAAGCAACCAGTAACATAACGTGTCAGGTTAAAGACTTATTGATCAACCGAAATAATTTTCTGTGCGTCTCCCTGTTTCACACACACACACACACACACAAATGCGCACACGTTATATATAAATATATGTGTAAGTGTGTATGTGTGTGTGTGCGTTCAATAGAAAGATAGATAGATACCTATATGCCAGCAAGATATATATATATATATATATATATGGAGAGAGAGAGAGACAAGAGACAGAGATAGAATTTTCAAACATTCGAATAGTTTTACACACAAATTCGAAGACGTTATGTATATATGTATGTATATGTGTGTGAGTACGTGTGTTTGTGTTCAATAGATAGATAGATAGATAGCTATATGCCTCTTTATATATATATATATATATATATATATATATATATATATATATATATATATATATATATATATATATATATATATATAGATAGATAGATAGATAGATAGATAGATAGATAGAATTTTAATATGTCTAAAGCTTTCGAATAGTTTTTTACATACACAAATATGCAAACGTTAAATATACATATACACATATATATTTAGATATATGTGTGTGTAAGTGTGTTTGCGTTTGTGTGTGTGCATGTGGGTGTGTGTTCAATTGCAATATTTATTCTATATATTGATGAACACGAGATGAATTTTATTTTAAGTTTCCATATTCTACGTTGTGTGATTAGTGTGTGTCATGATCTTACATACATATATATATATATATATATATATATATATATATATATATATATATATATATATATATATATATATATATATATATATATATATATATATATATATATATGAATTATTAATAAAATTCCGTTCAAACCTCACGGACTTTCTCAAGGTAGAACGTGCAAATGATCGTAATCCTCACAATAGCTATAATAACATTGTAAACAACAGAACTCAAGTTCGATGGAAAAGAACTCAAAACAATCCTAATATCGACATCATAAGAGCTGATAAATCCAATGCATATGTAATTTTAGACAAATTGGATTATTACTGAAAATTACAGCACTTCATCCATGATCGATCTAAATTTACAAAATTAAATAAAGACATCACTGACGCTCTAAAAAAATCTGTCAACAAAATCATGACACCTAATAGCGCCGATGTAGGGATCAATATATATATATATATATATATATATATATATATATATATATATATATATATATATATATATATATATATATATATATATATATATATTATATATATATATATAGAGAGAGAGAGAGAGAGAGAGAGAGAGAGATGAGGTTTTGTATATACCAACACAGAGAAACTGATACATTCACACATAGAATTATTCGTCCGTTTAGCAAAATACAGGAAATTTTTATTTGTTCTGCAAGCCGTCTCATAAAGATGTAGTAATTCCTTGTATTGCATTGAATTTGGTTTTTCAAATTTGTGTCGGTCGAACGTATTCAGTTGTTGATCATTCGACGAAAGATTAAACCCGGTCTCGATGCTTTGCAAAAAGCCTTCATTGTCGTCTCTGCCTGGCGAAAAGCATACGGCTTAAGATTTCGTCATGGAGCCAGTAATGCACATATATAGACACACGAACACACGGAGAAAACTGATATATTTACATGCGTATACAGATGTGTACTATATAAGTTTCGCTTCTATTTCTACGCATAGGAAAAAGATTTATAAAATTCGAAAAGATTTTCGTGTAAGTCAGTTTATAACCGTCTATCTAAATCAGTTCACATCCACCTCTCTCTCTCTCTCTCTCTCTCTATATATATATATATATATATATATATATATATATATATATATATCGCACATATAATGCTGGTGTTAATAAAACACTGCTCGACGTAATCCAACAGAGATATTAATACTCAGAACCTGAAGAATGCTTTGTGCATGAAACTCAGAGACGTGCGATCGGTGAAGGGATAATATGTATTAATATGTATATTTATTTATATATATATATATATATATATATATATATATATATATATGTATATATATATATATAGATAGATACATAGATAGACAGAGAGAGAGAGAGAGAGTGAATAAATAAACCGTTTTCTTTTTAATCAAAGCTTTTTGATTATTAATTGCTACCTAAAATATACTCTATTATATATATATATATATATATATATATATATATATATATATATATATATATATATATATTTATATATATATATTTATGTATGTATTTATTATATGAGACAGTGTGTGTTATGCCATTTCTTTCAGGAACCCCTTCAGTTTTCCACTTCTGAAAACTTATGTGCAAATTTAATAAAGCTGCGTCATGATTTTTTTGCCAAACATTTGCAAGGATATTCAGTCTATGCACAGGTACAATCGCATATGAACTTTTATATATATATATATATATATATATATATATATATATATATATATATATATATATATATATATATATATCTAGTAAGGTAATGAAGAGTTTCTCTCAGCTTGTAAACAATCTAAAACTATTCCTCAAAAACTTGTATTAAAAAAAAAAAAATCAAATGATGAACCAGATAAACTATATTTTCTTGGGAAATAAATTGTAGTCATGGAACCTTAAGTCTGTCTCTTTCTTAATTATCTAATATATATATATATATATATATATATATATATATATATATATATATATAGATAGATAGATAGATAGATGTGAACAGAATGTGCTAAATATATAAAAATTGAATGCTCTAGCTTGATAGATAGATAGATAGATAGATAGATAGATAGATAGATAGATAGATAGATAAGGAACAGACTGATAGATAGTGATAGATACTTGAAAAGACTGATAGATAGATAGATAGATAGATAGATAGATAGATAGATAAGGAACAGACTGATAGATAGTGATAGATAGACTTGAAAAGACTGATAGATAGATAGATAGATAGATAGATAGATAGATAGATAGACAGACAGACAGACAGACAGACAGACTAAAAAGAAACAGTTTACGGTGAACCTCTATCAGTATCTAGCGCACGAAACCGTGCCTTTCTTTTACCGTTTTGCCGATGTGTGCATGAGAAGTGCACACGTCGCTATCCTTTGCAACTGCATTGTATCGCCTTCTTTCGATTTTGAATTGTTGCGTTGCATCGCGCTGCGCTCCATCTGCCAACATAGATAAGCAGCAAATGCATATGTAAAACTCTGGTTTCGTGGAGGAGACGCGGCCTCTCCAAACTCTCCCTAATCGTTCTCCCTACTGAAGCGAATTCAGGCGGCAAGAAATCTATGGGTGTTTAGCGTTATATGTCAGCCAGACCACACATGTCTGTGCTTTTAAACAAAAGTACAAAGCCTATTTATTTCAAGTTACACTATACCAGAAGTGTTCTATACGGATTTAAATACCTTAGCGTAAAACCACGTATAGGGACGTGGGGAAGATGGAAGAAATTGAGAGAATTGATGCGCTGGTAACGTAATGCTTATCGGTAAAAAAAAAAAAATGGAATAGGAATGCCGAGTTCAATTCCAACAGTCTTTTTGCTTTTACGTTGCAATAATGTCCCAAGGAAATGTATAAATTCATCTCTTGTCTATTAACTTTGGGAAAAATAATGAAAATAGTCTTCGGAAGATAACCAGTCGATGGCAAAAGAGCACGCGAGAACGGAGTTAATGGAAAACATCGCAGCTGTCGATAATGTATTAAAGTATCCAATCTGGTAAAAAAAAAAAAAAAAATTCTGTATTCAGTGCCGGGAAGAAGTCAGTAGGATGCCATGCCTCGATTTTTCCGTTGTTGAGTCTGGGACCGTATCATAAATGGACATTAATAAATAAATTTATAAATCCTGCAGTTACTAACTTATCTCGCCTTGGTTGACTGCCTACTCAAATCTGTATATATATATATATATATATATATATATATATATATATATATATATATATATATATATATATATATATATATATTAAATCAAATTCAGGTGGGCGTGACCGACCACGACTTCCAGTTTCATGCGCTTTGGCGCAACTATGGAAGACGTGTTCGGTCACTGCCCACCTGGAATTTGACTTAAAGTATACTAAATCTCCGCCATTTTTTATGGCATTGAGCACTCTTTTTCCAGTGTGCAATATTAGGTAGACCCTTTTATTTTTTTTCTAATTATATATATATATATATATATATATATATTGTTATTACTATTATGTTCATTGTTAATGGGTATATACACTCGTGTTGTTACCCTTGTTTGTTTATTTTATTGAATAATAAAAAGTGGTCTAAACTGAGAAGGTCAACTGAAAAAAATTCAGCCTCCGACAGAAATCGAACCTGCATTACCCCAAGGAAAAACAATTTGTATATATATATATATATATATATATATATATATATATATATATATATATATATATATATGTATGTATGTATGGAGATGGAGAGAAATGAGAGTAGACACGAGTGGCGACAGTCTGTTTTAAGCTTCAGCAGAATCATATGACCTGAAGATTTCTATCAAG